GATGTAATACATCCATCGACCGATCGTACTAGTGACCGTGTCCTGCGTTTTGTAAAATGTCAACGGATTGCTATCCGTATTCCATTTAAAACGCCGACGGCCGAGAAGAAAGTGGCGCCACCGTTTGAGGACGGTGACGAACGCGAGTAGYTCTTTCTTCCTAGCGTCATCAAGAGTGTTGACGAGAGGCACCTTCTGGGAGAAGTACTCAACCGGATGCCAACCGTCCTCGTGACACTGTTCCAACACCGCACCAATACCGTATCCCGAAGCGTCCTTAGTCACTTGGGTGGGTAGGGTCGGGTCATATGTACGGAGGGCAGGTGCGGCTTGCATCGCTGCCTTCAACGTAGTGAACGCGCCAYGGGCTGCGTCGTCGAACTCGAAGGGCACCTTCGGGGACTGAAGTCTCGACAAAGGAGCGGCCACTTTCGAGTATGACTCGACGAAACGCTGATAATATCCATCCAATCCCATGAAAGAGCGTACATGCGTCGTGCAACGGGGTTCCGGCCAATCCACGATGGCTTGGATCTTGTCCGCTAAGGGACGAATGCCTTTTGGCGTGACAAAATGGCCCAAGTACTCAAGCTCTTGCTTGGCGAATTCGCATTTGTTGAGATTCGCTTTGTACTTGGCTAGTCGCAAACGATTCAAGACAATACGAAGGTGTATGATATGCTCGTCCAACGTCCTGCTGTAGACCAAAATATCATCAAGGTAAATGAGGATGCTGCGATCGAGCAAGTCGCGAAACTCAGTCATCATTGCTGCTTGAAACGTAGCGGGGGCATTGGTGAGGCCAAATGGCATGACAACCCACTCAAAATGCCCATACCGCGTCTTGAACGCGGTCATGTACCGGTCTTGAGGCTGGATTTCAATCTGGTGGTAACCTGACTTCAGATCCAACTTCGAGAAGTACATTGCGCCGCCTAACCGCTCAAGGAGATCATCAATCCGAGGGAGAGGGCCGGCGTTCTTTACGGTTTGTGCGTTAAGTTTCCGATAGTCGATGCATAACTGTAGATCTTTGTTCTTCTTCCGGACGAAGAGAATAGGTGCACCGTATGGCGAGCAACTAGGGCGAATCCAGCCCTTGTCGAGAAGATCATCGAGTTGTGCGCGAAGCACCTCGAGTTCCTCTTCGCTCATGCGGTAGATACATCCACGCGGAGGGACGGCGCCAGCCTCGAGAGTGATCCCGTGACGTATGGGCCGATCCGGAACCGTTCCGGTGGGAGCCTCGAAGACGTCTCTATACTCGTCCAAGAGGTGAGAAATCCGTGGGTCCGGTGGTGACACGGCTGGTCCGTCCGGCGAGGGRAGAGCATGCAAGAATACAAGGCCCATCTCCTCGACGTCATTCCGAGCAATGGCGTCGCGAATCCGCGCAACGGAAACCACGTGACAAGCAATCGAAGTGTGAGGGGTCGCGACCGTATATGGGATTAACACTCCGTTCCGATCACGGATGTGAACGGTTCGGTCATGGAAGTTCACCGGATGATCGGCGCTACGCAACCAAGACATGCCT